GTGTGCGCGTGCAGTGTGTGTGTGTGTGTGTGCGTGCAGTGTGTGTGTGTGCGTGCAGTGTGTGTGTGTGTGTGTGTGTGCAGTGTGTGTGTGTGTGTGCGTGCAGTGTGTGTGTGTGTGCAGTGTGTGTGTGTGTGTGCGTGCAGTGTGTGTGTGTGCGCGTGCAGTGTGTATGTGTGTGTGTGCAGTGTGTGTGTGTGTGCAGTGTGTGTGTGTGTGTGCGTGCAGTGTGTGTGTGTGCGCGTGCAGTGTGTATGTGTGTGTGTGCAGTGTGTGTGTGTGCGTGCAGTGTGTGTGTGTGTGTGTGCAGTGTGTGTGTGTGTGTGTGCAGTGTGTGTGTGTGTGCGTGCAGTGTGTGTGTGTGTGTGTGTGCGTGCAGTGTGTGTGTGTGTGTGTGTGTGCAGTGTGTGTGTGTGTGCAGTGTGTGTGTGTGTGTGCGTGCAGTGTGTGTGTGTGTGTGTGCGTGCAGTGTGTGTGTGTGTGTGCGTGCAGTGTGTGTGTGTGTGTGCGTGCAGTGTGTGTGTGTGTGCAGTGTGTGTGTGTGCGTGCAGTGTGTGTGTGTGCGCGCGCGTGCAGTGTGTGTATGTGTGTGTGCGTGCAGTGTGTGTGTGTGCGTGTGTGCGTGCAGTGTGTGTGTGTGTGCGTGCAGTGTGTGTGTGTGTGTGCGTGCAGTGTGTGTGTGTGTGTGTGTGTGCGCGTGCAGTGTGTGTATGTGTGTGTGCGTGCAGTGTGTGTGTGTGCGTGCAGTGTGTGTGTGTGTGTGTGCGTGCAGTGTGTGTGTGTGTGTGTGCGTGCAGTGTGTGTGTGTGTGCAGTGTGTGTGTGTGTGCGTGCAGTGTGTGTGTGTGCGCGTGCAGTGTGTATGTGTGTGTGTGCGTGCAGTGTGTGTGTGTGCGTGCAGTGTGTGTGTGTGTGCGTGCACTGTGTGTGTGTGTGTGTGCAGTGTGTGTGTGTGTGTGTGCGTGCAGTGTGTGTGTGTGTGTGTGCGCGAGCAGTGTGTGTGTGTGTGTGTGCAGTGTGTGTGTGTGTGTGTGTGCGTGCAGTGTGTGTGTGTGTGTGTGCGTGCAGTGTGTGTGTGTGCGTGCAGTGTGTGTGTGTGTGCGTGCAGTGTGTGTGTGTGTGTGTGCAGTGTGTGTGTGTGCGTGCAGTGTGTGTGTGTGCGCGCGGGTGCAGTGTGTGTGTGTGTGTGCGTGCAGTGTGTGTGTGTGCGTGTGTGTGCGTGCAGTGTGTGTGTGTGCGTGCAGTGTGTGTGTGTGTGCGTGCAGTGTTTGTGTGCGTGCAGTGTGTGTGTGCGTGCAGTGTGTGTGTGTGTGTGTGTGTGTGCGCGCGCGCACGCGTGCGGGTCCTGGAGCTTAAACTCAGGGGACTGGGCGCTGTCCCTGAGCTTTTGTGCTCAAGGCTAGCTCTCTACAACTTGAGCTACAGCTCCATTCTCAGCTAGTTCATTGGAGGTCACAGTTTCACAGACTTTCCTGCCTGGGCTGGCGTTGAACCTCGATCCTCAGATCTCAGCCTCATGATCTCTGGGAGTCGTCAATAACAAGTGTCTTTGTCCTGCTTGAGGGGAGGAGCTGGACATGCAGACCCACTGGTGACCGGGGAACCCAACCAACGCTGCCAGACTGGAGCTCCTAGATCTGGGAGGTCCTCACTGTGAATCAGGTATGCTAAGGACGTGTGCACCAGCCTGCTTGAACATGACCAGTGACTGTCTATGCACAGGCAGTAAGGAACTACCCTGTGTACATTTGAAAGGACAGCCTGGCCCACACACCACATGAACAGGGAGACTGAACTCACGGCTCTCTTCTTTTAGGTGGCAAAGGTTGAGGGTGGTGGAAAGCCAGACCTCAGAAACACCTTCCTTGTCTCCAGAGGCTAGGTATGTCCTCTCGGGGCAGCTCCTCTATGTCTTAACAGGACACATTCCAGAAGGTTCTGGTCCTTTGCAGAAATGTCTAGAGGAGCCCCAGCTGGTTTGCCACTAACCCTTGATCTTGGAGGTTAGCCTTCCCTAGTCAACAGAACTGCCATCTAGGGACTTGTGCCTGATAGGCTGTCTTGGCACATGACCTTATGACCTGGGTTTACCTGGTGTCAGATCCTCATCTGGTGCAGGTGTGCTCTTGTACAGGTCTAAGCCGGGGCACACGTGCACACCGGTGTGCTTCTCCACAGTTCAGTGTCCCCAACGCCCAATTCTCCCTCCTTGCTTGGCACCTGTGGTTCCAGGGAGGGGCATCTCTCTTACAGCCCCACTACTGGTTGTCTCTCCCACATTTGGGGTTCAGTGAATGGACAAAAAGGCTCAATCAATGGGGCAAGGCTGGTACACCCTGGTTTGGGAGGAGTGGGCTTGCAGCCTGGGTTAGGGGCTTGTGACTCCATTCCCCGAGGAAGTCTCGGGTCACCGTCTGCCCCAGGGCCAACAGCCGCCTGGCCAGCCTGCCGCCACAGGGGTTATTTATGACCATCCTCCCTCCTTCCCCAGTGTGCTGTGGCTTCCACCCGCCACAGAGGGCCCAGCACGGGAGGGTCTGGAGCAGCGACTGCCGGGCGCCAAACTGGACTGATAGGCGGGTCTCGTTGGCAGAAGTGCAGCTGTGGCTTAGACGCTGGGCTCCTGCCAACCTGAGAATGCCTGCCTGGATGATTCTAGTGACAAAACATGTCCTTCCTGCCTCTACTTTGGCCTGAGAAGCGCAAAGAAAGGTGGGGCCCCACCTAGGACATAGGTGTATCAAATGCCATGTTCCCAGTAAGGAAGCCGGGTCCTAGACAGAGGCGTTGGGTCCCAGGAGGAGGAAGGGGAGGTTGAGGAGGGAGTCCTCCTGCTTCTAATCCACTTAGGGAGTTTTAAGGAATATACCCTGGTCCTCCAGACAGAGAGCAAGATTGCTAGCCCTTTGTACCTGCTGGACAGTCATGCGCCAGGCATGATGAAAGAATGAGGACTAGAAGGGAAGCCTCTTGGCACTGTAAAGTCCCAGAGCTACAGAGGAAGTTCAGGCAGCCTCAGGCTCCACACACAAGCTAAGAGGAACACAAGAAGCTGCGGTCGGGGTGGGAGGCTCTCCGGCCAAGAAGTAGGGTCAGGGGCATGGCCAGGCAGTATGCACACACTTGGCCTCTAGCCAGTCCTGAGGGCCTTCCACATGTGCTACAACCATCCATTAACATAGTGGCATCTAGCCGAAGTTCCCATTAGGCTTGGAAGCATCTACCCTACAGCAAGACATAGGCCATGCATGAGGGCTTCACTCCTGTTCAGGGATGTACTTGTGTCTAGACTGCAAATTTGGTGATGGTGTGGTCATTCCCACCTGGCCCCCTCAGCCCCAGTAGACCACATTCCAAGACTAGCACAAGTCCAAGGTGCAAAGGAACATAGGTCTCCCAGTCACAGTCCTGGTCTGAGATCAAGTCTACCATAGATCTCTCTCCCCCCTCTTTCTCTTTCACACACACACACACACACACACACACACACACACACACGTCTGGAGCCAGCTGTGTCTTGGCTGCAGGTGATGGGTCCAATGGCCAACTTCATGCTAGCCAGTAATGGGTCACGGGGACAGGAGGCAACTCACTCAAAGAGGTGCGTGTGCAAAATATCCCTGCTATCCATCTCAGCCTCTCAGTGCCGAGTCTGAGGGATGCCCACGGGAATTCCCTGCCGGGCGGGCATCGGTGCACAGGGGCTGCCGCTGGGCTACTATCTATAGACACCAAAGGCAGACAAACAGTCTCACTAGCTATTACCAAACCCCCCTGGTCTCTGTTCCTCTCAGTTTCATGCAGCCACAGGCAAGAGCAAGGGCTGGCCAGGAAACAGTTGCCCAGTTGACCTACTGCCAAAGGCACCAAGGTGGACAAGGGTACGGCAGGTGCCTGTGGCTAGTGTGAGCAGAAATGTGCTGAGTGCACACTGCCCGGGCTAACTGCTCTATTCCCCATCCCAGGCTGATTCAGTACCTCCTTTCTGCCCCACACCATGGCTTGACCTGTACTGGAGGCAGCTATCCTTGTCCAAAATAGCTGTGTGCCATCGAAGAAGGTTGCTTGACTGCTCTGTCTCAGGCTCTCATCTATGAAAAGGGAATGAAAAAGAAACTGGCAACAGGACAATAAAAGCCAGGGAGAGGCTATCCTTGCTTTCTTTGCTTACGCACAGAAGGCAAACTCACAGCACTCAGCCTGGCTGCGGGCACCCCGCCCACGGGGCGGCTTTCGCCCTAGGTGGCTGGGACCATCCAGCTCTGCCCGGTGATGCACGGTGACTCGGGGCTGGCCCGCGGCGCCGTCTCCATCCCACCGGGGCTTTGGTTAGGCACCCCCCCTCACCCCACCCCCCGCCCCGCGAGGCTCCCGTTCTCCTCTCGCCCTTCCCGCCCTTTCCTCTCCGCGGGCCACGTTCCTCCACCGCCCTCGGCCGAGCCCAGTCGGCCTTCACGCACCCCCCGCCGGAGGGAGCACCCGCGCCGCGCCGGAGCTGTTTAAATGGGCCAGGCGGCGGCGGCGGCGGCGGCGGCGGCGGCGGCGGCGGGTCTCCCGGGTCCCCGCCGGGGTGGCGGGCGCGCGCCGGCGGGGCGGACGCGAGTGCGCGGCGGGCGGCGGGGCGCGGCGCGGCGGGGCGGGGCGAGGGCTTGGGACCCCGGGAGGGCGCGGGACTGGCAACTCCCCGACGAGCGCTCGCGGCCGGCTGCGCCCCGCGCCTGCCGGGGGACGGGCCTCGACTGCCCGGGGCGCGCGCTCAGGTGGGCTCGCGACGCCCTAAGGAACCCCAGGACCCTGGGGCGGCGGTGCGGGGCGAGTCGGCGCGGGATCAGAGCGGCTCCGGCACCACCATGCCTTCCGCCGCCGAGACCCCGCGGGCGGGCCGGGCCGCGGGCCGGGGCGGCCCGGCGGGCGGCGCGGGGGCGGCGGCGGCGGCGGCCCGGGCTGCCGAGGCGCAGTAGCGGGCGGGAGCCCGGGCGCGCGGGCGGGGGGCGCGGGGCGCGCGGCCGAGACCCAACTCCAGACCGGACCCGTAAGTTGCGCCGGAGGCGGAGAGCCGACGCAGGGGCCCCCCGCGCGCCATGCCGGCGGTCAAGAAGGAGCTCTCGGGCCGCGAGGACCTGGCTCTGGCCCTCGCCGCCTTCCACCCGAGCCTGGCCGCGCTGCCGCTGCCGCCGCTGCCCGGCTACCTGGCGCCGCTGCCCGGCGCCGCAGCCCTGCCCCCGGCCGCCTCGCTGCCCTCCTCGGCCGCCGGCTACGAGGCCCTGCTGGCCCCGCCGCTGCGCGCCCCGCGCGCCTGCCTCGGCCTGCGCGCCGCCGCGCCGCACCTCCACGCCGCGCGGGGCCCGCCGGCGCTCGAGCGCTTCTCCGCCGCCGCCCCGGACTTCCAGCCGCTGCTGGACAACGGCGAGCCGTGCATCGAGGTGGAGTGCGGCGCCAACCGCGCGCTGCTGTACGTGCGCAAACTCTGCCAGGGCAGCAAGGGCCCGTCCATCCGCCACCGCGGCGAGTGGCTCACGCCCAACGAGTTCCAGTTCGTCAGCGGCCGCGAGACGGCCAAGGACTGGAAGCGCAGCATCCGCCACAAAGGTGCGGCCGCGTGGGGACCCGGGCCGCCGCCGTCCCTCGCCGGGTCCCCCGCGCGGCCGCCCCGGAGCCCAGAGGGGGCGCTGCCGCCCGGGCCGCGGCGGGACCCTGGCGCTCCAGCCGGCGGCCGCTCCCCCGGGGAGCGCTTCGCGCAGCCGAAGGCAGGGGGAGTGCGCGGGCGCGCGGGGCGGGCGGGCGGGAGGGCCGCCTCTGCCCTCGGCCTCCGGGGCCCGGCCCCGCGGAGTGCGCGGGCGCACGTGCGGCCGGGCGCGCGGGGCGGGCGGGCGGGAGGGCCGCCTCCACCCTCGGCCTCCGGGGCCCGGCCCCGCGGAGTGCGCGGGCGCACGTGCGGCCGGGCGCGGGTGCGCGCCGCCAGTTTGGACCCTGTCTCCACGGGGCGACGCGGGGGCCGGACTGAGCCGAGTGGCCGGGTAGGCGCCAAGTAGCGTCAAGGGTGGGGACCCGGTGACATCAGGTCTGGGGGTCGAGCCCCCCTGTGCCGGGGCGCAGACGCCGTCCGGGGTCCCTCGGCCGCTCACCTGGCGGGGGCCCAGCTTGGCCCGCCTCCTCCGCGCCACGGGCCCCCGCGGGACCCCCGTGCGAGGGCAGAGCGCGGGAGGGGCCGCGGCGGGAGAGGCCGCCCTTCGGCGGGGGAGGGCGCTGGCTCCAGACGCGAGCTTCCGAGCCAGGCGGATCCCCGCCGCGTCCGCGCGGGCGGGCGGCGCGCTCGGAAGCGCGGGGTAAAGGGGGGGTGCGTCGTGGATGTCACGCACCTGCCGGCGCTGCGGGGACTCCGCCGCGGAAGCCGCTGCGCACGCCAGCGCGGCCTGACCGCGCTGCTCACTCACCGGCTCTGCGTGCTCTTCTGGCAGGGAAAAGTCTGAAGACGCTTATGTCCAAGGGGATCCTGCAGGTGCACCCCCCGATCTGCGACTGTCCAGGCTGTCGAATATCTTCGCCAGTGGTGAGATAGGAGATAAACTGGGGCTAGTGGGCTGCACCTACCTTGTGGGGCTGTGTGCCGGTGTTCTCTCTTGGGGAGCTCTAGCTACCAACCCTGCAGGGAGGCTGGAGGCACCCTCCCGAAGCCAGTGTGGCCAGTGCTTGTGCTTGTGCTGGGAAGGGGAAGCAGGTCCAGGTGCCAGGGCCTCTCTCGGGTTGGGTTCAGGGTGGGGCCCGACTATTCTATTCTGTACCACCGGCAAGAGCTCTGGCACACTCACACACAAACATTATATTGATATCTGCTTCTTCTCAAGTCCTAGAAACAGTGCAGGAGTCTTTATCTGAATAATATCACCTAATTTGGGCTTAGCGATTCCCTTGGCTCAGGTTTGCAGATCACCAAGTCATTTGCCTATCTGCTGATTCTGGTGTTGGGCACATCCTGGGATGTGACAATGCTGTCTGGCCTGATTGCGTTCTGGGATAATTCCATGCTTGAATATGAGTGACTTGTGTTTCTGAGGCAGTGAAGGCCGGAGTCCTGCCTGGTGACAAAGGTCTGAGTGTCTAAGTGTCCTGTTAACACCGAGCTAGGTCAGAGTCAGGGTCTTGGTAAGGTGTATGTCAAGATAGTGGGCAGCTGGCTGGAGGCCCCCACCCAAGATGGACAAACTACCGGTATCTGAGAGAGCAGGAATGACTGAGGAGTAGTATGCATGCCCCCAAGGCAGGGAGTCAGGACTGAGCTAAACGGTAGTGCCTTTGGAGAGGCACCAAGATCCCAGCCTGTTGGAGGGAGAGGGAGCCAGCATGTGCCCGCTGTGGTAAAGCTGAGTTGCTGTTCCTGGCTCCACCCAGCTTCTCTTCTGCAGGAAGGGGCAGGAGCTCAGGTGCTCAAGTGGACCTGGGAGGACACAGATGGTCACCTTGGGCTTGTTTTCTTTGGCTGGTGGTATTGTCCTGGGTTCCTTGTGGGCCAGAGCGGGCTGGGGTGCCACAGGCTGAGCTCGCTGGGGCCTGGCTGCTCCTCAAGGCCCGCCATTGAACACCCAATATCAGCATTCCTCCCACCCCCAGTGGAGAATCTGCAGTTCAGACAGGGGGAGCCCCCACCCCTGCCCTGCCTGACCAGGGGTCTCCACACATCAGACAAGTCAGACTTGGGTCTGCCTCTCCGGAACCTTGTCCCTCCTTGGGGACCAGTCTCCACACTTTCCTACCTCCATGGCCAGACCATAGGTGTGTGTGTCTATGTCACGGGCACTCTAGAAGAATGTGGGTGTGCATGTAGCTCAGGGGTTCTGTCTCACCAATTCCGGCAGAGGACAATGGAGTGTTTCCTGGGCGGGCAGCCAGGCTTCAGCATATTTCTGAGGGCAGGTAAGGTGGAGACCTTTGCTGCCAGTGCACAGAATGATACACTGCTTTGCATCTGGAGGTAATGGCTACTCTGTGTCTAAAGAGATACCTTGGTCCATATGCTGCACATACTATCCTGCCCTAGGAGACTTAGGGGTTGGGACCCACCCTGCTCTCTTGTCCCCCAAGTTCATGGGTGAGGCGAGGCCCTGTCCTTCTGGCAATGCAAGATGGAGAATATATAAGGAGACCTGGAGACCAGACAAATGAAAGGAAATTAGATACTCTCAAGCCAGCAGCCGCATTCAAATAAGAAAAAGCCTTCTGCCCACCAGAATATAATCAATGACTTTCCTTCTTTCTCTTAGGGGGAAAAGGGACCCAAACACCCAGGAAGACCCAAGAAAGGATCGGGGACAGGGCACATATTCACGATGCTCTGCAGTGCTAAGCATGTGGTCCATGGTGTATGTGTGTACACACCCATGTAGAGTCCCCAGCTTGAGGGCCCCACAGCTCAACACACACTGATAGTGGTGGGTGCAGAGCGGCAGGGGAAAGAGCCTTGTGAAAAACCCTGTCCAGTGTGACCTAGGAACACTAGACCTGCATTTTCCAGGGACCAGAGGCTCATGCTGCCACCAGTTTCAACTAACCCCAGCCTTAGACTCCCCTTGAACTGGGCTCTGCGTGGCACAAACAAAATAGAAAAAAAGGGCTGAGGTCATAACTTGGTGGCACAGCACTTACCTAACATGCTTGGGACCCCGGGTTTACTCCCCAACACTGGCTGAGGGGAAAAGGACTTTATTCATTGATGTATCAGTTTTGTGCTATTCTGATGACTGATAGAATGTGTCAAGATTGCAGGTACAACACAGTTCTTTTTTTTGTGTATGTGTGGGGAGGGCTGGGGCTGGGGGGAGGTGGTCCTGGGGCTTGAACTCATGGACTTAGGCGCTATCCCTGAGCTTTTCTGTTCAAAGCTAGCAGTCTACCACTTGAACCACAGATCCATTTCCAACTTTGTTTGGTGCCTAATTGGAGATGAGAGTCTCACAGACTTCCCCACCCAGGTGGCTTCAAACCATAATCCTCAGATCTCAGCCTCTTGAGTAGCTAGGATAATAGGTGTGAGCCCCCAGTGCCCAGGACAACCCAGGATCTTGAAAGCTGGCATGCATTCACCAGGACCAGCCTGCCTCCAGCTGTATACACAGACCCCCAGCAGAGTCAGGACCAAGAAGGGAGTTTGGGATGGGGGAGATCCTTGGAGCCAAGAAGGTGGAATCTGCCACTTGTTGAAGCTGAGCTTGCAGGGTAGAGCTGGGCAGAGCCCCCACCACACTTTCTCATAGGCTAGTCTGCAGCAATGTGACCCCTGAACCTTGGCCCAGACTAGGAAGCTGAGGGCCTGGCCCACCCCAACCCTCCTCTTTCTAAATGCTCAGAATCGGGGACGGCTGGCAGACAAGAGGACAGGTGCCTTACCTGTAGCAAGTGCCCTGAAGAAGGAGCAGACCCTCAGCTTTTCGACCAGTGATGGTGACAGCGATGGAAGTAGTCCAACCAGCGGGCGGCAGCTAGGCTTGAAGCAGGAGGATGACTCACACATTCATATCATGAAGAGAAGGTACTTGAGCTTTGGTGGCCAGGCCAAAAGGTCAAGTGGGGCACCAGCGCCAGGGGCCTTCTGGAGATGCTGCTGTGGGTCCGAAGGGTGCAGACAGGAGCATCTGGTCCTGGTGTCATCATCCCATGCGGATGTTTCATGTGCAGGAATATGACAGGGGCCCATTAGCCTGCAGCCACCTGGGCTTCTGCTCCAAGTCTCCTATGGTGGCTGCTGCTTTAGGGTTTGGGTCCTAAAGTAGCTCTTGCAACTAGGAATTTGGTTTCAGTTGAACACTGTATGGAGGAAGCCTCCCAACTCCTGGTGCAGCATTAACTCTGAGTGTACCAAAGGAAACGGGCCAGAGCTATGTTTGGTAAAGCCAGGGCCTACCTCTGGCCTGGAAGGCGGGAGGCAAGGTAGGCTGACCTGGCCACCAAGGACTTCCCCACAGTAGCCCATCACTCTCCGCAGTTATGCACATTGTGCTGTCTGGGCACAGTAATGGAGACGTCCTAACCCTCTGCTTCTTTCCCCACAGAGTCCACACACACTGGGATGTGAATATCTCCTTCCGAGAGACATCCTGCAGGTAGGAGTCCAAGTAAGCTGGGCTTTGCCCACATGCACTGGTAATAAGGAGCCTGTTGCTTTGCTTCCCTTGGACCTACTTCTAGATCCTCAGGTCAGCTGTCTGTTCTCTTTCCTGTGACCACGGCCTCCTATCTTGTCTACTGTCCCTGCCAAAATGAGCTGATGTGGGCCAAGTATCTGCCAGGTTTGCTGTGTGTGCTTCTTGCCCAGCCTGGGAAGCAGGTGATAGGTGTCCATCTTAGACACTGTACTTGATTCAGGCTTCAGCACCAACACAGGTAGGGGTTCTGAGCAGGCCAACTTTGAAGGCAGAGTACAACACATACACAGAGGAGGCGGGGAGAGGGAGAGGAAGAGGGGACTGTTTATTTATTCCCATCTGGGCAAAGATGAAGCTACTATATAGGAGTTCACTCAACAAAGGAGGAAGGTTTCTGAAAGAGGAGTAAGAGAAGAGAATGTAAGAAAGATGGAGGTGATTCTGCAGGTCTGGTCCACTGAAAGGCCTTGGATTCTAAGCCGTTTGACCTTGCTCTCCAGGCAGCAGAGCCACAGAAAATTCTTGAGCAAGGAATTGAGCAGGTATGTGTTTGGAGGTCTACCTGCCTCACAGGTTGTGAATTTTCTGAGAAACAAAATGGATTCTGGCTGCAAGAAGCAGGGGGGTAAAACCACCCTGTACTTAAAACCAGTACTGTAGCCAGTATATAGCAAGAACATGAAAAATGAAGATGCATGACAAGGAGTCTGGAGTGTTAGAGTGCTGGGGGACTTAGGTTCCTGCTACTGGGGGTAGGGGTGGTCAGTCTGTTAGCAGAGCCCAGCTGTGGTTTCTGGTCAGTAGGGTGGATGGGAATGCTGCAGGAAGGGTCCAGTGGGGTGGGACATGGCCTTAGGGGAGGACTAGCCTCCGGTGACTACCACTGTGAATTTATCTTTAGCTTTCCATGTTATTATTGATGTCTTTGAGAATGCCTGGATCCTGCAGTTGAATTACAATAAAAAACATCTTCAAACTTATTTCTACCTCATTTTGGAGTTGCCAGCTCAACTGATCATTTTTATGAACCATCATGAACCTTGATGACATTTTATGAGCCTTTTACTTCAGATGCTACAGGACAAATTGTCAGTGAGCCCCGTAGATAACCCAATGGCTGTGCCTCCCTAAACAACTAGCTCTATCCCCTCCTCACATCCACCTGGTCTTGGAGGAGAGGCCCTGTACCCTATAAGCATCTGTCATACTGCTGACCACTGTAGCCTGACACCCCTAAGAGAGGCCAGGCCTGTCCAGAGGCCCTGAAGGCCAGAGTGATGCTTTAGATGTGGAGATTACAGCTTGGGAGGTGTGTATAGCATGCTAGGGAGGAATGGCAGGTGCCTACACACCTGCTACCCAGGTTCAGTATCTGCCCAGACAGGAAGGAACGCAGGCATCCAAAGCCAGGTGCCTCCTGAGTCCCCCACTAGGCTATCTGACCCATCCTGTAGTTGGTCCACCTGTCCTGTCTGCAGACTCCTGTTTGTGTACTCATCTCTGTCAATTTGTGACTTTCTACTGTTATGTTTGGCTGTCTCAATCCATTCATCTTGTCCATCTCTGAATCTCTTCCTAGGCCTACAGTAGACTTTCTGCCAGAGACCCTAGATTCTCTTGCTTCCTTCCAAATCTCCTCCTCCTTTAGCAGAATGGTCTCTATAAACACCCAGAAGCTTCTCTGGCTGTCAGTGAGTAGGAGCCATGGTCTCTAGCCCTAACCCCTTCTCTTGGCATCCTCGTCAGCTGGCTGGCTCTGTCCTGACACCCCCATACCCACACGTTGTAGCCTTCTGAGACCCTCAAAGACCCTCATGCACCTTTCACCCCTGGCATACAATAATGTATGGTGGATGGTTTATGGCTTCCAGAACCCCCACTCTGATGTCAAGGACAGAGTTCATGGGCTTTCCGTCGTCTGGTAGAGTGTGTCTTCATGAATCTTAGCAGGTCATCAGGTGACTAGAGTAGGCTTTTAGGCTGGGTCACTTGGTTAGTGCCTGAGAGAGAGGAAAACCCCCAGACACTGGATAGAGACCAGTGCAAGTTCTGTTCCCCCTGGTATGACCTCTTTCTCACAGAATCATGGCTCCCTAGTGCCTCGTGCCCCTGAGGGTCTGGAGGAGCGATGACAGGTTTGGGTAGAAAGGCCTCACCTTCCTCCTATAGGCTGGAACAGGTTCACAGAGAACAAACTTTTCCACGGATGCTGACTCACCTGGTGTCATGGGGCATTAGAAAGAGCTTTTGGTGGGGAGCAACGGTAGCTGTTGCAGCCTTCGGACTGGCCAGCCCACAGCCCCATGCTGAGGACAGCAGTTCTCCTTGACACCCCCGCATCTATGAGGATGGAGGGGATAAGCATCTGTGCCTATTAATCCCATGAAGTACTTACTCCCCCACCTGCCCGCAGACCTACACAGCGTGGGGAGAAAGCCACATCTGAGTCTCCGGTCTTGGGGCTAAGGCCTCTGCACTATCTGCTGTTGCTGCAACTGATCTGCTTAGGGGCCAGCCCTGGATTAGCCCAGCTCCAGGCAGCCTGGCTAGGGGCTAGGGGCTATTTAATGAGATTCAGGGGTCTGTTCCTGGGTCACTGAGTAGAGGTGATGTGCTGCTGAAGAGGCTGCTCCAAGACAGGTGGGCTAGGAAGGGTTAGGGTGGGGCTGGAGGCTGGGGACAGCTGCGTCTTCCCTGACCTGGCTTTGCCTTCTTGTTGCTCTCTTCTCTGCTGACACGGGTGCTCAAAGAACCCAGGGGTAGGGCACCCACCTCCTCGCTCCCTCTCCATATCTGGGTGAGGTATGTAGCTAATTCAACAGAAAGGACAGAAAGTGAAGGAACAACATTAAATACATTTTATTCCAAGCCTAAGGGGCCTAACAGTCCCAGGACAGCAGGGTCCTGGGCATGGCAGCACAGGACCAGTCAACTGTTCTTGCTTTCATGTGTGAGCAGTGTGTGTGTGTGTGTGTGTGTGTGTGTGTGTGTGTGTGTGACCATTATGTTAGTGCTGCATGTGTGAGCATGTGTCTTTTTGGTTGCAGAACTTTGGTCTGAACTCGCTTTCTTATTTAAAAGAAAATAGGGTCTGGGAGGTGGTTGCAACTTTTAGCCAAACAGGTTTTGCTACATTCTTACCTCAGGATCTGACAACATGTATCTGACAACTTGTGCTCTCTGTGCTTGTCCTGCAGCAGACAGGACACCTGGCCACCAGGGAGACCGAGAGTAGGGCAGAGGGCATGCTGGGAGGGATCACCCTGGTTCTGCTGGCAGCTGGGAGCTTCACTTTGGTCTGCTGGTTGCATGTGCACATATGTAGCTTCAGACGACTCATGTACAAGTGTGCTCAGGTAGCATGACACGTGTGCACGCTGCTCTCAGGCTGTACACCTTATGCTCACGCAGGTCGGGCAGTTGCTGGGCCAAGTTCATGGCACATGTTGGTGCTCACGGTCTGGCCTGTTTTGCTCTGCTACAGTCAGGACAGCAATCTTCCCACCCTCATATCCAGTGTACATCGAAGCCGTCACCTCGTTATGCCTGAGCATCCCAGCCGCTGTGACTTCCAGAGAGGCAGTGTGGAGATTGGCCTGGGACCCACAGGTGAGGAGCTGGGATTCCCTAGGGTGAGGATGAGGCTGTAGAGCCACAGCGCTCAGCCCTCCCTCCTTGAGTCTGCTCAGCAAGTCTGGCTTCCTTGGCAGGCAGCCAGGAAGGCAGCAAAGGAGGTGGGAGGTGGGAGGCCAGCTGTCCCCCCTGGGCTCCATGTGATAGTAATTGTGTTAATCCCAGCCAGTCCAACAGACTCAGACAGTTGAAGAGGAGGGAGCTTCCCTGTGGCTGTTGGAGAGGGCTTTGGAATAGTTAAGGCCTACAAGCCTCTCCTCACAGGGACAGAGAGCTCAGAAATGCCCAACCCAGAGTGCCTCGGAGAGGCAGGAACATGTTCTCCTCCCTCTCCCTCTCCCTTTTCCTCTCCCTCTCCCTCTCTCTCTCTCTCTGTCACACACACACACACACACACACATACAGCATGCCCAGTCCTGGTCTTGTCTCCTTGGGGTCTTGAACCTGTTTGCAGGGGAGGCAACTGATCCGGGGGCTTCCAAGACCACCAAGAAAGCTAGCTCCTACAAGCTCACAGGCGCTAGGAGCAGAGCAGTCCAGGACCATAGCCTCCCCCGAGTGGGCAGTGGAGCTGCAGTACATATACACAGCTGAGTCTCAGAGGCCTTAGAGGATTTCTGTTGTGAGATTTCATTCTATGGCTGCCGTGCTCAGGAGGGCGGGGTGAGCAGGGCTCCTTGCCCTGAGCAATCCCTATCATAGCCCCATAAACCTGAAAGGCGAGGATAAAGGAGGCACTAAGCAGGCAGCTGATAAAATCGAATAGTCCATTGATCACCGAGTACGGAAGTCCTACCATGATTGAGATGTTCTGAGCCCGCAGGCCCTCCCCCACTTCTTCCCTGGAGATCTCCAGGACACAAGCACTCCTGAGTGTGCAGGCATATGCTTGTGCATCCTGAGGCTTATGGCTACCCCATACATGCAGCTCCCCACCAGGTGCTCCTTCAGCTGGCCAGGCCTTTGTCCCTCTTTACAACATGTGCAGGGTTCACACATCAGTACACAACTGCATGTGTTCACACACACACACACATGAAGACCTCAGGGTCTTACCCCTGTGAGGCCTTCTGGGGGGTGCTAGACACTTTGGGCCAGAAAACATTTCACCACTGGGCAAGGAGGGTCTAAAGAGATTCAGAAACAAGGAGCTCAGAGTCTTTGTTGTGATTTGTGCATCTGGCCTTGGGCACACTTGACGATTTCTTGTGGCTGGCTCCTTGGTGGTATCCCTGAGTGCATGTGGCTTCAGCAAGGGGGTCATGGGGCTGGGTCTCCTATGCGGTGCCCTCACGCTAGATCACCTTTCCCAGACTGACTCCAGCTTCCCAGGAGTGGAGATGAGGCACAGAAGAGGGACATGTATTCCCACTGTTGAAATGGGGAGTCTGCTATGCTCAGAGACCTCTCACCTAAAGGGCGTGTTGTGGGAAGGGTTCCCAGCTCAGGTGCCACCTCTCGTACCTGCTGGGCTCTGACATGCTGCCTCTTACCCAAGCGGCCCCTGAAGACAATGACTGCTATCCATCTTCTGGGTATATCCACTCTAATCCATCCAAGCAGTGGGGACTGACCCTCTTTTTTAGGACAGAGCCAGGGCTGGCTGTTCAGCCTGGTAGCAGCAAGGTGGCTTGGATCAATAAGTTATTAGCACCATTCTGTCAGTTGTAATGTGGAGATTGATCGGAGCTCTCGCCACACACTTCCCCCAGCCTGATAAAAATGACAGATTAAAGGAGTAAGAAAAGGAATTAGGCTCTGGAGCCAGCTTTGGGGACCATAGTTTTGGAAGCCCCATTTGCCAAAGTGTCATGGAGGGTTTGGGTCATTCAAGGGGCAGCCTCTTACTGCCCTCTACCAATGAAGATGAAGCTGTGAAAATAAGCAGTAGAAACAGCAACATTCAGCAGAGACGCCAGCCTTAGAGTCGGTCAGGAGCTCAGGAGAGATGGAGTGGCAGAGTTTGGTCCTGAGCAAGAGATAGGTGTTATGGGTAGTTTGGGGTGTGAAACTGTGACCTGTGGGCCCTAGAGAGGACACGTGGGAGATGGGCCCGCTCTGGTGACCGCATGTAAGGCTGTGCATAGCAGATGACCTGCTCAGGGTTAGGGTTAGCTTGGCTGGGCAGGTGTAGCAGAGTAGGGGGACTCTGAGGGAGACCTGGGCCTCTGGTGCCAGGGTTGGGAGGACTCAAAGGGGCGGGGGGGGGGGGAGGGTGATATATGAGATGTGCCCTCACCATGCGCTCTCTCACATCTGCCCTGCTATATCCTTGGCCAGCTGGACAGACCAGCAAAAGGCCTGGGCCCTAGGTTGGGCAAGGCCATAACTACTTACTAGAAGCAGGGCACTATTGAGTGGTGCTGTCCGAGGTCCCAGGCTGAGCTAAGGCAGGAGAGGTTGCTCTCCATCAGCCTTCAGCTTCTGGTAACACTCACTTCATTCTCTACAGGTGACCTGTTGGGCAAGAGGCTGGGTTGCTCACCCTTTATCACCAGCGACTGTTCTTCAGAGAAGAAGGCCCGAAGTGAGTCCCCCCAAGGTGGGAGCCTGACCCCACGGCGGGAGGGGTGGGCAGGGACCTGGAAGGGGAGAGACACCTTAGTCCCAGACAGCTCCCTGGAACATGGATAGGGGTTCTAAAAGAGAAGCCCCTGCCCCTCCTCTCCGCAGTTCTGAAGGAGAATCTCCTCACAGCCCTACCCACTGTGCTCCCCCAACACAGAGACTCTGCTGCTCCCGGACCTGGGGCCCAGCATGGCCCCTGAGGACCACTACCGCCGGCTTGTGTCAGCCCTGAGTGAGGCTAGTCCCTTTGAGGACCCTCAGCGCCTCTACCACTTGGGTCTCCCCAGTCATGGTATGTGCCCCTCAGTCCCCTCTCCACCTACGCACTGGGATACCCCAGAAGAGGCCCTGGTAGTTTGAGGGCTGAAACCAGGACCACACTGGATTTTATCCATAGGCTCCCAGCCCCTGTGGGTGGGGGAGAAGGTTCTTTCAGGACCCCTGCCCTCATCCACAAGGGCTACACCCATTCCATCCACCAGGTAAAGGTGGGAGGTTGCAGTTTTAATAGGCCTCCATGCCTAGTCCTCCTCACCCCCACAGCAGTGTAGGACCCAAGTCCCTGGACACTGACTTGGTCAGACTCTCACAGCTAGGGGATCTGGGGGTGAGGATCAGGGATAAGGCAGCTCAGAAGGGCAGGGCTAAATGGTAGCTGGAATGTGGCCATCTTGGAAGCTGCTTCCCTTTGCTGGGCCCTCTCCTCTCCAACTTGTGCTCCATTCGGTCCACTTGGTCATCACTGCCCCCAGGCACAGCTGACACCCTGTCCAGAGACACTCTGGCCTCGGGCCCACCAGCTCTGCTAGGGGAGCTTGGGTTTGCTGGCTGGCTGGAGGGCACCAGGAACAGAGCAGGATTTCCTTCTCCTTGCACAAGGCAAGTCCCTAAGGGTACCTCAGGCACCAAGAGCCTGAATAATTCACCAAATGTTAATAATTTAAAGATCTTCCTTTTTAATTGCTTTCCCTGCCCTGCCTGGGGCGGGCTCTGCTGGCCTGTGCAGGGGGAGGGCCAAGAAAGCAAAGGGAGCAAGCTGTCAATCACCGCTGCTCAGAGCCACACCGAGTGGGCAGATGGGGCCACATGCCCTGGTGGGATCAACATGGCCGGGGCTGAGCTGGCTGGGCTCTTCTGGCTGGCTCCTGGAGGCGGGCAGGCCCACCTCTGCCTCTCTGGTAATTAATTTATAAACAGGCTAAGTTAGGGGTTGTGGAGATTCGAAGGCCTGCTCTGGGGGAGTTAGGGGTCGAGCACCGTTTGCATGCTGGGTGTGCATGCTGGACAGAGACGGTGTGCCACCCACCACCAGGGGTGGCGCCGGAGCAGCCGTGCCTGATGGGGCTAATACGTGCTCAGCTGCACTTGCGTGACAGGATATCAAATCTTCCTGTCACTTGGGCAGCCCCAGGTTTGAGACTCACTCCCCACTCCTGGACTCATTCCAGGGACATCCGGGACCTGGCCTGTGCCCTCATTCTTGGACTTTGCACAAATCTTTCCTACTCAGACAAACTCAGCCTTAGCAAACTCCAGTTGGCTTCTGGCCTAGGGGCCTTCCCTCCTCCTCCTCCTTCTCCAGCTTACCTAGGTCCATCTTCCCTACCCTAGGGCTGCTTTCTCCAACCCCAGAGACAGCATGGCTGGGGCACCCGGGAGAGGCCCCCAGCCCCGCTGACCAGCATGGGGGAGGCCCCTGACTCGCTGCTGTTGCCTTCCTGCCCCAGATCTCCTGAGGGTCCGGCAGGAGGTGGCAGCCGCAGCTTTGAGGAACCCCAGCACCCTGGAAGTCCACCTGCCCCCCTCCCTGGGCCAGCGCCGGAAGCAGGTCCTGTCTCAGCCCCGGGAGGGCGCGCCTGCCTCGGCTGCCCCGTCCTTCTCGGAGAGGTGGGCTCCAGTCTGCGAGTCCAGGCGCAGGCCCCGCCCGCCCGGCCGCGGGGTCCTGCGGCGGGCTCGAGGCATGCGGGACCACGCGGGCCGTGCCCCCCACGGGTCACACGAGCGCGGAGCCCCCCCCCCCCGTGCTGACCCCGGGGGCGGCCGCGGGGAGAGCGCTGGGCCGGCGCCCGCCTCGGTCCGGCTAATTGCGCCCGGCCGCCCGCCGCCCGCGGGGCTCGGGGAGGCGCTCGGGAGGGAGGGAGGAGGGGGGGGCGCCCGGCCGCGGTAATTACCGCTGCAGCCGCGCCAGCCGGGTCAGCGCCACCGCCAAGATTAATTGGCGCCGGCGGCTGGGGCGGGCGGCGGGGCGCGCATCGACCGCCCGCGGAGCCGGCAATTAGCGGCGGAGGGGAGGGGGGGGGCCGCGGGGAGGGGAGGGCCGCGGGGAGGGGAGGGAAGGGGGGGCCCGCGGGGAGGGGAGGGCCGCGGGGAGGGGAGGGAAGGGGGGCCCGCGGGGAGGGGAGGGAAGGGGGGCCCGCGGGGAGGCCCGGCCCCGCGCTCACCGCCCCGCGCCCCGCAGGGAGCTGCCGCAGCCGCCCCCCTTGCTGTCACCCCAGAATGCGCCCATGGCCCTGGGCCCCCACCTGAGGCCCCCCTTCCTGGGGGTGTCCTCGGCGCTGTGTCAGGCCCCAGGTGAGGAGCGGGCGGCGGGGCGGGCGGAGCCGGTCCGAGGCCGCGGTCCGGGGCCAGGCCTCCAGCCACCGCCCGCCTGCTCCCTTCCCCAGGCTACGGCTTCCTGCCCCCGGCCCAAGCGGAGATGCTCGCCCGGCAGCAGGAGCTCCTCCGGAAGCAGAGCCTGGCTCGGTAGGTGCCCGGGAGGCCGGCGGGCGGAGGCCCGCGCGCCCCCGCCGACCGCCCGCGCCGTCCGCCCCCCGCAGACTCGAGCTGTCGGCGGAGCTGCTCCGGCAGAAGGACCTGGAGGCCGCGCCCCGCCCGCCGCCGCCCCTGCCCGACGGCGCCGAGGAGCTGCACCGGCCCCGGGCCCTGCTGGTGCTGAAGGCCGGCGCGGCGCCGCCGCTGGCCCTGCCCCCCCAGGGCCCCCCGGGCCCCGGCCCGCCCACCCCGCCCCGGGCCCCGGCCCGCCGCGCGTCCCAGAAGGCGGCCCCGCACTCGGCCTCGGCTGGGCCCAGGGCCGCCCTGGACACCACAGGGGAAGACGACTGGGCTCAAGACGGCTCTGAGGAGGAGCGCTCCAAGGACTCGGACGGAGAGGACCCGGAGACGGCGATGGCGGCGGCGGCAGGCGGGCCCGCCCCTGGCCAAGGCCCAGGGGGGAGCACCAGCGCGGAGGGGAGGGGGCTTCTCCCCGCGCCCACCCTGCCTCTGGGCTTCCCCTACTACACAGGTGCGCGGCCCCTCTGTGTCCAGCAGACAGCAGGTCGGCGTCCCGGTGGGGCACAGGGTGAGCCACTCTCCGCTCTGACACACCCAGGTGCTGCGGGAGGGCTCTTCACGGAGGGGGAGGCCGCAGCCCCTGAGGACCTCAGCAAGTGGAGTGTGGAGGACGTGTGCAGCTTCGTGGGGGGCCTACCTGGCTGTGGAGAATACGCTCGGGTGAGAGAGAGATGCGGGTGGGCGGGGCGGAGCAGGGGGGGGCTCTTCAGTCCCCAAATCCAACAAAACGGGACTTTCCGTCCTTTGGACATTTTCCCTTTCGACTTGCACAAACCAAGCCCTGGGGGCCTGGCTGTGGTGGAGCCGTAGGCAGAGCTGATCTGCCCTGACTCCAGGTATTCAGAGAACAAGGGATTGATGGAGAGACCTTGCCTCTGCTGACAGAAGAGCACCTACTGACCACCATGGGGCTGAAGCTGGGACCTGCCCTCAAAATCCGGGCCCAAGTGAGTAAGACTTTTGATAGTGAGGGCAAGACACAAACACTGTTCATACTACAGACAGAACAGTCCCACCAGGACCTCTTCCCTGGCAGACACCCATTCACACTCATCTCTTTGTAGGTGGCCAAACGCCTGGGCAGAATCTTCTACATGGCTAGTTTTCCTGTAGCCCTGCCACTCCAGCCAAGCCTGCGGGGCCCTGAGCAGCTCAGCCCAGGACAGCAGCCCCTGTCTCCAGCAACAACTACTTCTCCCTATGGGGGGACCCACCCTCATGCAGGCCGGGCCTCCCCTAAACAGGAGAATGGTACTGCAGCGGTGGCTCTGCTCCCAGGGGCCTCAGACCCCTCCCAGCCTCTGTGCTAAACTGGCAGGTGTCCCCACCTCTGCACACGCCTAACACCCACAATTCCCAGGGCTTTTTTTCCATTTTGGCTTTGGACAAAGGGTGGGGGAGGGGTGAGAAACACAAGATTTTTTTTTTAAAGGAAAACATGTGACTTGAAAAGAAACAAATTTAAATGTGGAAAGGATTGCAGAGGTCTGCAGACAAACCAAAGACAAAGGAGGTAGAAGCTACTGGAGCCTCCCTCTTCCCTCACAACTGGGACTGCTCTGTGCCCTGGCATCAGATGGCAGCCAACCTCCGGCACCGCAGCAGCAGACTCTCGGGCTGGTTCACTTTCTCAGGTCCGCACAGCTCTTGGTACATTCGCCGGTTGTGTTATAACAATAAAGCCCCATCCACTGTCTACTAGCCTCCTGCTGCATACATGATGGCTTCTGGGACACGACAGGAGACATTCAGTCCTCCTCAGAAAGCTGCAGATCCTCCAGCTCATCCTGTGGCCCCTGAGCCAGCTGCCACAACTCCCTGGGGTCCAGCCCTGCCTCTGCATCTGGGCCTTCATCTGCAGGGAGAGACCAGGCCACATAAATTCTGCTGTATCAGAAAGCCAGTCTTAGAGGTTACTTAACCATCACTAATTAATCACAGCACTAATTAATTTACCAGTGCCCGCATAGCTGGCTGCTAGAACCCATGGGGACAGAGCAGCTGGCATGGCAGCGAGGGATGTGAGCCTGGCTCAGAGCCGCCCTCCCGTGACCTCACTGCCAGATGGGACTCCCAGGCCAGGTTCCTCATGGCGGAAACCACTCACTTTCTGAGTCACAGTCTTCCTTGTCCTCCTCCTCTTCCTGGTTCTCATCCTCTTCCACCCCTTTTGGAACTCTCAGGAACCCAGGCATCCCTGGGGATCAAGAGCCAAGTGCATGATTACCACCAGGGACCAGCAGCAAAGCAGCAGCTACACAGGAGAGTGGGTCAGGCCTACAGCCGAAGTCTAGGGAACACTTGCTTTTCCCTCAGTCTGAAAGGAGGCCCCACCTCAAACTGGAGGCAGGAGAACATGAGGGGGCCTACCCACCAGCTAGACACGTCCCCGGTGCAAGAAAGCACCTCCCCGCCCCCAAGCACACAGACATGTTCACCAGAAAGAGCACTGCCAAGGTGGCACAGCCCTCACCTCTCCCTGAGAAGTCTGGACTCTCCTCCTCAGCACTGTCCAGCTCAAAGAGGTCTTTAAATTCCTTCCTGTCCTCATCCTTCCGGTCTTCCACCTTCCGCCGTTTGATCTCTGGGAAGTTCAGGTCTTCCAACTATAGGGACCAGAACCAGAGTGGAGTGAACAGAGCCAAGAGCCCAGCATCATCTCTTCACAAGGGGCCAAGTCACTGCAGCAGGTACCTCAGAAGGGGATGACAGCAGCCAGGCTTTTCCCAAGCCTGTGTTCTCTTCTTCTTCCTTAGGTCTCCCTATCTAGTTCCACCTATCATCACAGCACCTGACCTCTGGTTGGCCATTCTCACTTTTCTCATTCTCCTCTGCTCTGCTCATATATCTGCAAGCTACTGCTGTCAGATCTGTATTATGCAACCATCGCAAACCTATCCACAAGTCACCAAGTACCAGGGACAGGCCACAGAATAAAAGAGAAAGCCCACTGCTGCCCTTCTCACTGGCCTGCCTCCTAAGATCAGGCTGACCTGGTTCGCATGCCGCTCCAGCCACCCTGGCCAGGCGTGCAGGACAACCACCCCCTCTGCTCACTGGTAACTAACCGTACCCTGTTAAGACAGCCACAACTGTCACATCTAACATCACCCCAGGTCTCAACAGTAGAGCGCATCAGGTATGCCCTGCTGGTCTTAGAAGCCATGTCAACCTGCAAGATCTGAATCCAGTCATCTGTCCACACCCAGTTCCCAGCCAAAAGCCATACCCGTTCTTTGCCACTAATCTCCAGCTGGATCTCACGGTCCCTCAGCTTCCGCCAGTGGCTGTAGTATCTGGTGAGTGGGGTCCCCTCTTTCCGGGCCTGCTTCTCCCAAGCATCCTGGGGATTAGGGCACTTTAGGGCCATGTCTCATCTTTGGACAATCCCCAAACCCTGACACACCTTGACTTGTACACCGAGTAAACCACCCAGCACCCAGAAGCCAGGTTCCAACTGACCACTGCCAGCTGGTCAGACACACTGAAGGAGGTCCGGCGGCGGCAGCTACAGATGTACTCTGCATTCTCCTGCACCTTCTCCAGCAGTTGTCGGACTTGCCGGCAGTAGTTGGCCACCTTGCATTCCCGGAGGAAGGATTTCAGCTGCAGAAGGTGCTCAGTTCAGTGCAGCTCCACACACAACAGGGCTGCCCCAAACCCCCACAGTGGCCCACGGGCCTGCTGTCCTGTCAGTCAGGTCAGTGTCTCTAAGGCTAGCTGGCACACAGCCCTGCTAGACTGCTCATGAACTTTATGGCTGCTTCTGAAGGGCTTTACAACAGTTGAAAACTCATACTATACAAAACTTAGAACAGGTGCTATTTGGCTCTTTACTGAAGAAGGAAAAAAAAAAAAAAAAAAAAACCTGTGGAACGTACCGTACCATACCATAGACCTCACCCTAGGATCGTGGGCCCAGCAGATAGAGGTATGTCGACTACTAGACTACAGGACAGACAGAGGCCACTATTACACAGCGTGACTGCACACTTGTGCGTAGCTATTGTATAACCGTTGCCTTGAACACAAACACACACGTACTGTCTCTGGGGCTAAGCCACACACAGGTCAGGTGTGAGCAGTAGCCTGTGATTAGCAGAGCTCATCTATGCTCTAGGATCAGAGGGACAGCAATGGACCCCCTATGATGCCTGGGATGGAGAGCAGACATTCATGGAAACCAGAGAAGGAGCTTCTAAGTAGAGAGAAGCTCAGCCCATTCCCAGGACCATGAGGACACCAGAGTGAGTTAGGGGACCAGCTCAACCCAACCTTCTAGTTTCTACAGGTAGATAATCTAGTCCCAGGGTCATGGCAGGCTTTGACCAGTCTACAGAGGGGCCAACGTGCTCTGGAGATCCTAAGTCCATCGCCCAGCCCACCCTTACCCTGTGAATGGCTGACAATCCCTCACTAAGAGCCAACTCCATAGCATCCAGAAAAGTACTTCAGGCTCCCACACCCCACTGATCCTCCCCTCACCCCCCACCCAGTACCCACAGTACCAGCATGGAACCCATAAGCCAGTCTGCTCTGCTACTGGTCTTATGCAGCTGAGACCAAGACATACCCCTTCCACTTTTGTATAAGGGGAAGTGAGCCCATTAAGTGACAGCCAAATTAGCCATAAAGTAGACCCCAAGGGAATTATTCAGGAGAAGGGAGCCAGGTATGATACAGACCTGCAAGATAGCGGGAAGTGCCAGCTCAGGAAAGGCAATGCTGTGGGCTTGGCTGTGCAGGTACTCCAGGATGAGATCATACAACTGCTCCACTAGGCCATCCTAAAGCAGCAGGGCAGGACTCAAGCTCACTAGGGGATGACACACCAACACTGGAGCTCTTCTGAGAATCTATTCAGTCTCTCTCCAGGGCAGGGGGCCAGGAGGCAGTGTACACTGACGGGAGAGTTAGGACAAAGGAGCCCCTTATCTCCAACCCAGGAGACTTTGAAGTCCAAACCTAAAAACTTCAAAATGGCAAACCCTCCTGTCCACCTCAAGTGACATGAGCCCAGTAGAGCACTGTCCTGTAACTTCTCCAAGAGGCCTGGAAGCCAGACTCACCCGGTATGCCTTTTCCTGCAGATTGGCACTGGACAGCTTCAGGATCACGGAGAAATTGATAGGCCTGGAGCTCATGCGACCTGGCCGCTTGTTGAAATCTACCTGCTGGAAAATCTGTCCACAAGACGTGTCAGTCCAGTCCCAGACCTCAGGCCTAGCCAGAGACTAAGAACAGGGGCCAAACACAGCATGCTTTAGGCCACAGACTTCCTGCCCTCTCCAGATTTGGTTCATCTTCCAGAGCTCTGACTCTGCTTGATAAAACCCTAAGGACCAGAACTGCCTGTGCAAAGAGGGCTACCATTGCCTTCTTTGTGACAGTGAGATACTGAGGGCTCTGTACAGCATCATCCCAGGCATGGGGAAACATGACAGCCAAAGGGCAAACACTTAACACAGGGCTTCTCAGACACTCCAAACAACACAGCCCATGTACCTGGACCCTCTTAAGAAGAGAGGGGGAATGGGACTGTCCTGACCAAGTGACACCTCTCCAAACATCAGAAGATTCCCCACACAGGGTAGGAGAACCAGGAAGATCAAAGTGTGAAGAGGCCCCTTATAAAAGAGAAGCCCCTAGGTACAACATAGCAGAGTACCTGTGACTGAGCCTGACTCCAGGAGGAGGACCCAATAGTGATTAACAATAGGGCCCTCTCAACACCTTCATCCTGCCCTCAAACAAAAGTGCAGAGATACCCTATGTGCAGAAAGCTTTGCTTTAGCCCTTGCGGCTTGTCTTCTTCTGAAACCTGTACCTGGTGTGGAAGGCCCTGCAGGGCTAGCTGTAGTAAGCTAAGGCAGGGGTCAGGATGAAGGCCATCCAGGGCAAAGAAAGAAGAGAAACATGCTCCAGAACAGCTCAAAAGAATTGGAAAGATTGAGGACAGAAATGCCCCAGCAGGGTGCCAAAACAGCCTGCCACAGGGAGATGTAGTTTGCAAAGCATGTTCACAAAACCCTACTACAGCTGTGAATAGCTACTCACCTCAAGAATGAAGGGCAATACAGGGATGAAGATGCCGGTGCTCTCTGACAGCAGTATCAGGGCGCGCACACAATGCATCCGCAGTGGGTAAAAGCGAGAGGTAGGCACCAGCCTGCAGGAGAGGTGGGAAGAGTTAGCGCTGGTCAGGTGGCCTAATCCCAAAACTAACCCTTGTCCACCTACTGTCTGTAACTTCTCCCCACTAGCAGGCTAGGGTCTTGTTACTGTCTGTAACTTCTCCCAACCAACAGGCTAGGGTCTTGTTACTGTCTGTAACTTCTCCCCACTAACAGGCTAGGGTCTTGTTACTGTCTGTAACTTCTCCCCACTAACAGGCTAGGGTCTTGTTACTGTCTGTAACTTCTCCCCACTAACAGGCTAGGGTCTTGTTGCTCCTGCAGGGTGAGCAGCCACAGTGGCTACAAGGCAATGCCACATTTCCCCAAACATAACAAGACACAAGAAAATACCTATGTTCTGGTCCTGGTCTGAAGAACTACCTTCTTGCTCATAAGTGAGACTCTTCTGCCATGCTTCTAACAATATCAATTTAGGGATGGGGACTGTTCATTCCTACTCCCCTTTCTTCCACACTTCCTGCTCTTAGAACTGCTGCCTCCATGCCCAACCCAAAGTCTC